CGCGCCATTTTTTTAACTCACTGTGCGGAATGCTTTTCTGGAATGTATGATGGTCATGTGTGTCTTTCAGTTGCTGAGTACTCATCTACGTTTTGCTATTCCTAACTACAATCTCAGGTGAACGCAGAATGCACTTTGCTGGAAAATGTTGGCGAGCAACACAAGAATTCGCGAGTGATCTACTGTTCTCGACACCTAGCTATGGCGTAAAACTGGTTGGTCGCTCAGCAGCCACCTACATTGACCAGCTATGATATGACACAGAGTGCTTCTCTAATGATCTTCCCAACTCGATGCAGGACAGTGAGGTTGACGTGATAGTCTTAGGAATGTCTGAGCGAGCTCAACCAAATAATAAGAAAAAAGGTATATAATAGATATATCACAAACATATAATAAACATAAAATTAACATTTACTTCATATTATAATGATATGTCCCGGAAAGGGATATATTTGAACGCAGTATCTAAGGGGTTTTGGCTACTATAACCAAGTAGAATACGGTAGCAGTAATCGACTGGTACACGTCGTAGTCGCAGGTAAGAAGTGTAGATCAATGGCGTAGTCCAATGGGCGTCGTTATAGACTTAGCACTCAGACTAAGGCTCATTGACTCACCTACACGTCCGTCGGTATTTATGACGGACACCAGCCAATCATATTCCAGTGAGGGGGAACACAGGTGCACGCATATTCCATTATATCATTATATAGCTGATTTTGCTATATTTCATAGGTTTAATATGGAATATTTAACAGATTTGGTATTGAATATATAAAATATTTTAATACTAAAAAATTAACAGATATAACATTTAACTGATTTGACATTTAACAAATTTACATTAATTGTATTAATTGTTTAACTTTCACGGTGTGCACTTGCACTGTTTCCACTGAGTCCATATACACACTACCCAGCACCGGGATTGAACTGACAATTACCACAACACCAAATTCACGAACCAACGATTTAACTTGTTTAATTTAAATTTTCATAGATTTAACATTACAAATATAACAGATTTAATATTTAGATTTTTTCTTTTACAGTAAGGTTCACCCTGTACAAGGCCCGGGGGGCACTCGAGGTAGAGGATTAAGTTAAGCAGTAGTTTATACGAATAGGAGGGGAATTCTTGACTTGAATAGGTTAAGAGTGTAGTGATCTTGGAAACATCCTTTTGGGAGTCTGTTCCACAGTGCAGTGGTTCGCAGGAAGAATCTGTTTGAGTGGAACATCTCACCGATATCATACAGAATAAAATTAGGTTCATGGCTACAATATAAGTGGCATGGCCGTTCCTAGCCTTGAAGGGTAGACCTGGTGGAACCAAGGAATGTATCTCGTCTGGGCAGATTTCAATGGTAGCAGTGACAAAGCAGTGAGAGACTCGCCACATCCCGGCCTGTGAGAGAGAGGTTGGAGGGTAGAAAAGAATTCTTCTCTAACAAGGATTCGGAGACGTTTTTGAATTCTATCAAGACCTGAAAGTGAGGATTGAGAAGCTCCTGCCCAGATATGGCAACAGTACTCTACATTAAACCTGATCTGGGTCTTATAAAGCTAGAGAATAGAATGAGGAGTCAGGTAGTTACCGTAGCGATACAGGTAGCCGATCATTTTACCTGTATCTTTAGAGATGGATCGTATGTAAAAGTATGAGGTCGGGGGTGAATTTGAGGCTCAGTATCCCCTCAAGAAGGTACATAAAAAAGAAACATGGTTTGGAAAATTTGATACTTACAGGGACAGGTTGAAGACAAGGGGCAGCAAGGAGAACAACGTAAAATGAATTAGATTTTGATTAAAGTTAAGGATTACACATGTTTGACCTGATATCAAACCTATAATACGAATTTTAAATTTATTAAGTGTTAGTTAAATTGTTCAGACTGTCGTCCTCATCTTTATTACCATATTCACGACGTTTCGGCCGTTGTACGCCCCGGCCTTCTTCAGGATATATATATTGGAATTTCGAACCGAACGCTTTATTTAGTCCATTGGATAAAAGTTTTATGTTTCATGAGTGATACATGCGTGGGCGATCATGTATCTTTCGATACATGACTGACGAGGCAGATTTTCTTTCCGGCAGTAGGTTGCCATTTCTTTCTGCGGTAGACCAGTTGCTATCCACGGCTATAAAACCCAGTCTGTCCTGCTATTTACCTATAGCTGGGGGATATTAGCCCGTAAGTGAATATAATGGATTCGACTGGAATTCGAAATCGGCTCGCCAATTCCTCAATCCGAGCCGCTATCCAAAAAGTGACTTGACTTAAGGAGTTGTGAGTTCAATATCCAGCCACAGAAGAGGGAATAAACACTTGGGGAGTTGAATTACTAAAGGGTACTGACTGTTACTGAGACATCCCCCCAAAAAAGCCATGGCACGTGGAATTAAATAAATCTACGGGATAGACTGTTGTCGTTCCACTGTTCATGTCGCGGAAGATCACATCGAGATCCTTTTTTTTCATACCTCTCAGTAATTGCTCGTTTCACAGTGTGCACTTGCACTGTTTTCCACTGAGTCCATGTAGATGCTACCCGGCCCCGGAATTGAACTCACAATTACCATGACACCAAATTCACGAACCAACAATTTAATCCACAATGACAATTCTCTCTGGAGAACCTAGAGCCTTTGCCTCGCCTGCCTGATGGTGAGTAATGCTGCAGCTTGTCATGGCTTGACATTGCATTTAAATATCAGTGAAGTTATATAAGTTACATTGGTCACCTCGACGTAGTGTAATGGTTAGAAAGCTTGTCTTGCTAGATCACTTACGACTGAGTAGTGTGTTCGATCCTCACTGAGTGCCCTATACTTTCGGCCTTTTGCCACATCTAAGCCGGGGTTAGAAAATCGCTATATAAGTTCCATGTTAATATTAAATTGATAAAATGCTCATGTCATTTCTTTTATATGTTAATTTTAAATCTGTTATATATTCATTTTAAATCGACCATGCGCTATTATAGGGATACACAGTATTAAATCTGTAACAAATTAAATTTTTTATATGTTAATTTTAAATATTTTATATTTTAATGTTAAATCTTTGTGTCAGTTTTAAATTAATGCAAAATGTATTAAATGGTGAATGCATTAAATGTAAAACGCTTTTAAGATATGGTTTTAATCATTTCATCCCAAACAAGGCAATAAAGACCCTAAGATTCAAAAAGGTTACTGAGCGTTAGAGAACAAGAAGAATATAGTAATCAAACAAAGAAGACAGTAAAAGAACAAGAATTAAGAAGATGCGATAATGATTGACATTGCGTTTAAATTTAAATATAATGGGTTTTGCCTTGAAAGTTAGCGACTTTAGGGTGTGTTTTATAAATGTTTGCAGTTTTATTCTTAATCATTTCGCGAAGGCAGAAAAGCCACAAAGTGTGAACGAATAAGAAAAATACAAACATTATTAAAGAGCGAGGACGATAAAAGAAGAGGAATTAAGAAAACAGAATACAACGATTGGCATTGCGTTTAAATTTTTGAAGTTCAAACTTGGCTGGAAAGCAAGAAACCAGAAGTGAGTTCCACATGTAGGATTAGAAAAAAAAAGCACCAGACGAGAGATGTCAGCCATAGTTAAAGGCGTGGACAAATAGTAGACTTATAAATATGGAAGATAGATTCTGGCGAGAAAAAAATTTAGGCCCAAATTTATTGTGGATTGTTTTTATTTTTTTTTTTTTCATTTCCCTCCAAGCAAGGTAATAAAGCCACTAAGACACAAAAGGGTTACTGAGGGTAAGAGAATATGAGAAAAAATATGAATGAGAAAGAACAATATAAACAACAGGAATTAAGAAGACATAAGATAATAATTGACATTGCATTTACATTTTTGAAGATCAAAGTTGATTGGAAAGTAAGAACATGGAAGATAGTTCCACAAGCAAGAAGTGCGAGAGAAGAAGTTGTTACCTCACCCTCACTTTTCCGGTTACCTACATCCTTTTACTCTGTCACTCTGGACTCGACTCGACTCGACTCGACTCGACTCTTCGGTCTAGCTCTCTCTTACTCTCGTCTCTTCCCGTAGCAGTAGTATATGTATATACTGGGTGAGTCCATTTGTGCAAAAAGGGGAGAATCCCTCAACACTTATGAAGCCCGAACCCCGTCAAATGCCTTTAAGCTATCCAAAGCAACAAAGCAGTGGAAAAGAGACTGAAACTGAGGTGCCAGTTCAGGACAAATAAAACTGCAGATTCTTGTTAGTAATTTATCAAGAATTTCTGAATACATAGCAGAAGCACCAGAGAAGGTGTAGCAATATTCAAATCATGGACGAATGGTAGACATATAAATATGTAAGATAGATAATGGCGAGAAAAATTGCCTCACACAACACGGTGAACCAACTTCTTTAGTATAAAACTTAGCAATAAATTCAATATAATCTTTCCACTTTTTGTCAGCAGAGAATGTTAGCCCAAGAAGACACAGTTTAAGTGATTAACCGTTAGAAAAAAGGTCTATTCAAATTTCTATACTATAAAATGAAAGTGAAAATGCACTTAAATTGTTTATATGCGTTTTGGATAACTGTGTCAAATTACCGTTGAAATTCAATTATCTACAGTGTTATATATATATATATATATATATATATATATATATATATATATATATATATGTGTGTGTGTGTGTGTGTGTGTGTGTGTGTGTGTGTGTGTGTATTGTGTGTGTGTGTATACGTGTATACACACACGTATAAATATATATACACTTTGTATAACTGAAATCATATATATATATATATATATATATATATATATATATATATATATATATATATATATATACAGTGGGTAGAAGTTGTGGGAAGCGATTTGTACCCTTCAGCCTGGTTTCAGACGTAAAAAAAAATCGAGATAAGCTCTGACCTGAAGTAGACCGCTCTTCCTCTACCTTTATTCTCGCCTGAGGAATGAGGGCTCTAAGTGTATTGGCATCTGTAGTTATTCACATGCACGAATGTGCTCGCACAGAGCCAACCATATACAAACACCTTGTGGGTCTTGCGCATGCGTTGTTTTTCTTTCTTCACACATTAGGAGATATCTTCACTTGCACTGATCCACCGGAGAAGCCTCGCAGAAAAAAAAATTGTTCAGTATTTCTCAAGGGGTCCCCATTCATGTATTTATACGTTCTCTTTTTTAACTAACAAATTCGGGTGTTCTTTTCTTATCAGAATGATCAGAGTGAGTTGCTGTAACTTCTTAATCACAATTAGACTCATTCAACTCTTTCCGAATCCTGTGCACTGGCCTCAGATAAAAAACCCAAACACTATGAAATGTTCGTATTGGAGCTTCCAGCGCGAATGCCAAGCAGTACAGCATGCCGTTTCTAAATTTCTGGCTGAGTAAATTTCGTCATGGCACTCTTTTTCTCACAGACGTTGCCCCACTGACCCTATTATACTGTGTAGATGACAAAATCAAAAACAAACAAAGCGCATGCGCGAAATTAAAAATAGAAAATGGCGACAATGTACACATTGCTCCATATATATATATATATATATATATATATATATATGTCTCACCCCATCATCATGACTATATACGTGAGTCCTTTAGAATAGAGGTGAGATGAAAAGTTTAACTTAATATATATATATATATATATATGGGAAACTGATTTTGGGACACGTTTCAGGAGTTAGGATTTCATCGGACTGGGCTTTGATGACGTTGCCACGTCTACAAATGTGCACGAAACAAGAGGCGCGAGTAAAAATTTTGGAAATAATATTTCTGAAAGAATATTTCTTTTTTCTTTTTTTTTTCTTAATCTAGCCAAATTTATTCATATTCTTTTTCTTTTTCTCTCTATCACCTTTGTCTCTGACTATCCCACACTATGACTATATATATATATATATATATATATATATATATATATATGTGGGGGGGGTCTGATTAAATAAATTAAAAACATTCTGTCTGTTTATTTTTAGCATAATCCGTTCATATTCACAGATTTGTATTGCAATCAAATGATGCAAATGAACGATAAAGCAAATCTCTCAGTCGTTGCATTTAAACGCAAAAAGAAAAAAAATCAGTAATGGGTAGCTAATGGGTAGCTCCACATAGTTTTTGCCTTACTAGTTGCACCACTGATGATGATCGCAGAAAGAGATGGAAAGTACCTGGGAAATAAAAGTGATTTTGAGGCGCCGTTTGTTTTATTTCTACTTATTTATTTCTTTTTTTGCTGAAGCCCATGTATTCTATTTTTTACAGTTCATAGTCCTTTCTTCTCGATTTCCGTGTTCGTCTTATCTGGTTTTCTAAGTAAGGTAAATGTAAACTCCAACGCAAAAGGCTAACTCAACACTTCGAAGCAAAACTCCAACTCGAACTCAAACCCAAGCTCAATCCCAAGTCCAAGCTCAACACTTCGAAGCAAAACTCCAACTCGAACTCAAACCCAAGCTCAATCCCAAGTCCAAGCTCAACACTTCGAAGCAAAAACTCCAACTCGAACTCAAACCCAAGCTCAATCCCAAGTCCAAGCTCAACACTTCGAAGCAAAACTCCAACTCGAACTCAAACCCAAGCTCAATCCCAAGTCCAAGCTCAACACTTCGAAGCAAAACTCCAACTCGAACTCAAACCCAAGCTCAATCCCAAGTCCAAGCTCAACACTTCGAAGTAAAACTTCAACTCAACACTCCGACACAAAACTCAAACTCAAGCCCAAACCCAAGCTCATGCTTTGAGGAAAACCTCCGACTCAAAACTTGGACGCAAAACTCAAACTCAAACCCAAACTCAAGCCGAAGCTCAATCTCAAGCCCAACACTTCGAGGTAGAACTCAAGTCCAACCCCTATCCCAACCTCAAGCTCAAGTTCTGCGACGCAAAACAAACTCATCCCCTCGAGAACACTTACCCGTAACCGAGAAAAAGATGGTGTTATTTAGTTCTCTCAGTCCAGGATCTATGCTGACTATTGTCTAATAATACCTGTCCAGTATTTTTCGTATGCAAATTTTGTCAGCGCCACCTATTTTAAATAGAAAACCCTTTCTCAACATTGTGGAAGGGGACGTAACTCCAGGTTCTTGTTGCTTCAGACGCCACCAACTGGATCTTTTGTCAGGTTGATTCGATTCCACGTTACACTTTCTTTTACTAACTTTTCTCTGTGTTATTTCGGTTTTCTTTTGGAACTTGCGTCATCTGCATCTTGTTAAGATTATGTCCGTTAATAGGAATCCTGGTAGGTCTTAGCATTGTTCTATAATGTTTACATTAATTCCTGACAATCCCTCTTTCCTGTACGATGCTTTTTTGAAGTAGGGTTATTAGCAATATATTCACATTATACGTGTCATGGCTGTATAATCCCCGCCCCCAGTAACGCGTGCATCAGTTTCTGATCCTTACCAATTCCTGTCTTTTTGATTTTCAATGGGAAAAAATATAGATTAAATTTCAGAACTTAGTAAAAAAAAAAAAAAAATAGGTAAAAGCTAGTGAATGTTCCAAGATACACAGACAAAAGAATGTTGGATTTCAAAGCAATGTGTCCACTTCTGCACGGTAGAGAATTCTCGATAATATTCGCAAAGATGAAGAAAATACTCGAAGAGACAAAGACCTGGTATTCTTGACGAATGTTCAGAATGCCATGGATAGAATGTATCACAAATGCGGAAGTTTTATGGGAAATAGAAATAACAATCAGAAAGAGATAGCTAAAATCCTATAAGCTGCATAATGAGAAAAGAGGTTTGGAGAATTTAACACTCACAGAGCACATTCAGAACAAAAGAGTCAGAGAAAAGCAGTCTGTTACAAATTCTCAGCAAACGGATAGCTAGTGCAGTTGTTGAAAAGAAAGATGTGAAGAGTTATGATCGCCCACGTCTTGAACGGACATTCCACAGAGAGGGAGAAAAATAGAGAGAAAATTATTAAGAAAGTCAGCGGGAGAAAGAGCGAGAGAGGACAGGTTTTTAAAATCATTTCATGCGAAACAAGGTAATAAAGCCACTAAGCTGCAAGGAGTTACCTAGCTTGAAATAATATGAGAAAAATAAAACATTATTAAAGCGGAAAAACAATGAAATAAGACGAATAAAGAAGACAGAAACTAGCGATAGACATTGCATTTAAATTTTGGAAGATCAAAGTTGATTGGAAAGCAAGAAACCGGAAAAGAGTTTCACAAGTGCTAGAGAAGAAACTGTTAGCATAGAACTTACGGTTACATCTAGTGATTTGAACTATAAAATCATGTGACCTTGCCGCTAATCTAGAACTGCGCTTTAATTCGTAAAGTGGGGTACTAAAGTAGAAAGTATTTAAATTCGTAAAGTGAGGTACTAAAGTAGAAAGTATTTAAATTCGTAAAGTGAGGTACTAAAGTAGAAAGTATTTAAATACGTAAAGTGAGGTACTAAAGTAGAAAGTATTTAAATTCGTAAAGTGAGGTACTAAAGTAGAAAGTATTTAAATTCGTAAAGTGAGGTACTAAAGGAGAAAGTATTTAAATTCGTAAAGTGAGGTACTAAAGTAGAAAGTATTTAAATTCGTAAAGTGAGGTACTAAAGTAGAAAGTATTTAAATTCGCAAAGTGAGGTACTAAAGTAGAAAGTATTTAAATTCGCAAAGTGAGGTACTAAAGTAGAAAGTATTTAAATTCGCAAAGTGAGGTACTAAAGTAGAAAGTATTTAAATTCGTAAAGTGAGGTACTAAAGTAGAAAGCTCATCAGAAAAATTATTATGAAAATATTTAAAGAACGTGTAAAGGGAAGCTCCGTTACGGCGGAGGGAAAGATGATTAAACTGAGATGCGAGGTGAGGACCAGTAACATTGCAGATTCTTGGATTTTATTAGAAGAAGAAAAAACTCTGAATACATAGCGGAAGCACCAGAACAGCTGTGGCAGCCATATTCAATGCAAGAACGAATACTAGACTTATAAATGTGTTTTTGGCGAGAAAAAATGTCTAGCACGAGGCAGTGAATCAACATTCCGAGCAGCAAACCTAGCAATTGATATCAATATAATATTTCCATTTCATGTTTGCGTAAAACGTTAACACGAGAAGGTGCAATGAATCACTCTACAGGAGGTTAGCATCAGTCAAACTTCTGGAAAAAAAAAATGTTCCCTCAAATGATTAAATGATAACAGTTTCATTTTGGAGGCGTCATTATTAAGTAATTTCTTGCCCCAGTTAACAAAAAGCGGTATTCATTAAAATGAATAAAGGTTTTGTTTTTTTTCATGAATCAAAACTATGTTATCACAGTCTATTTATATAGGTCATATGCATATACATATACATTTCTATAATATCTTTCTTATTCAAGTTGTTTCGTACTTGTGGTTTGCTGTTGAACTGTTGCTTTAGTCTAACACCGAATATTCGTTCCGCTAGAATAGAATAGCGATAAATATTTCACAGAGAAATTTAAACTTCTCATTCCCCAGAGACCATTTTGACTTTCCTTATAAGCATTTAATTAAACACTATCTCCCTTTTGATATAAACGCACATAAATTATATATATATATATATATATATATATATATATATATATATATATATATATATATATATATATATATATATACCCGCCATTAAAATTGTATGCAGAACATATCATCCGACTCTGTAAAGAACAAACTCATCTATTGGTTAATATAACTGAGTTTTTGCACAATCAAGACGTTAAACTAGTCTAAGTTCAGCCAATAGAAATCTATATTAAGTTACATAGTACAATAGGTAAATTATGTTAAATAAATCTATATTAAATTATATTATATAAGCATATATGAAATTTCATCTGGACCTATATAAATTTATGTTACATAAGCCTTTACTGGAGAATTATATATAAATTTATGGCCCGTAACGTTCTCTGTGTCCGAATGGTCTAGAATACACCGGATCACGTTGATTTTTTTTTTTTCTCTAAATGGGTAAGAAGGTTTGAACACGACTGGAGGGCGCATTCTCTTTGTTAATTTTTTCTCGTGTACACAGGCCGATAGACGTAATACACACTGTTTAAAATAAGAAGGGGGCGTCTATTACAAACAAGGATATCCACTAAAAATAACGTTTGAAGTCATATAAATTTATTTATATAAAAAAAATGTAGGGTAATAGAATTACACAATGTAAAAAAGATATTTCGTCATTCTATAACGCAATATTTTTTAAGACGCCACTATGACATGAGGGCTTACTGAGTGTTAGAGAATATGAGAAGAATATTCTATTAAGGAGAGAAGACAATAAAAGAACAGGAATTAAGAAAACAGAAGATAACGATTGACAGTGAATTTAAATTTTTGAATATCAAAGTTGACAAGGAAATCGGAAGAGAGTTCCACAAGCGAGAAGTGCGTTAGAAGAAACTGTTAGCATAGAACTTACGGTTTGATCTAGCTAATTCAATTGTTAAGTACCATAGAGAAAAGTAATATTTAATTTGGAAATACATAAATAGGACACAAGGCCAAAAGGATGGATAGAGTAGGCTTGCCTTCAATCTGTCTTATCTTAAACTTAGCAACCCACAATTACTGTGCCAAAACATACCACAGTATTCCTTACACCAAAATAACACATTCTAGCATATTATTCTTACGACAGCTACCATAATACCTCAAAGTCTCTACGATATATACAATTTGTTTGAGGGGGGGGAGATAATAAGAACAATAGCATTTAAATAAGAAACCTGAATGAATATTTAGAATGATTACAATTTACATACAAACCAAACAAAATGATGTTAGTAATAAAAAGCCAATAGAGGAAAGTTCTTCGGAACAATTAGCATGAAAGTCTTTATAGAAAAAGCACAGGGAAGGTGGGAAAATAATTGAAGCATTGATGCCAGGTTATGACCAATAACATTGCAGATTCTTCTCTAGATTTTATCAAGAATCTCTGAATAGATATCAGGAACACCAGACCAGATGTGGCAGCAATATTCAAGCCAAGGGCCAATTGTAAACTTATAAATATGTAAGTATCTATATATTTTGCATATCTGTATATTTTTATATATCTATTTTTAAATTTATATATTTACCATATTTTCGGCAGAGATAAATAAATATAAGAAACTATGAATATGAATTTATTCTTATATTTATTCTTTATATATATATATATATATATATATATATATATATATATATATATTACACAGATGCATCTAAGAAAAAAGACATCGCACGAAGCACACATAACGTCACACCACTTTTTTCAAAAGGACATGTTTTTCTTCAAACTATCTACAGAAGATATATATATATATATATATATATATATATATATATATATATATATATATATATATATATATATATAATGATGACAATATAGTTTTAATTTATACTATATTTATGAGGGAAAGTGCTCAATATAAAAGATATAGCTTATGTATATATAAAAGTGGACACTGTATTCAAAACCAAGTGGCGACAATCGCCACTTGGCGATTGTTAATGTTCACTATTATATGTTTGATCAGTGCCAAAGTTCGTGACCGATTTCCATGATTTTAATTTTTTAATCGGGGACGCAATTTTGCAATGATTTAAAAAATATATTAATGTGCTACATATATTTATATTTATTTACTGTATTAATTTATAATTTTTCGTTTTTTTTGACAAGTTTTTAAAAAAAAAATCTATTCTGTATATATTATATTTTATTTCAATTACTACTGTAAGATGATAATCATTTCGAGAAAAAGCACATTTTACTACAGCAAAAATCTTAAGTTTTTACGATATGAAAGATTTTTCAATTACGCTTTTACTGATCATTATCTTAAAGGGATGAACTAGATTTTATCTTACTGTTAAATACGAATTTAAATAATTAGGTGCTACTTTTTATCCGAATACACTCAAATATTTTTTAAATAACTAATTTCAATAAAGAAATATTGAAATAAGAAAACTTTTAACTTCAAATTTAGATTTCGTAATTTAATCACTTGAAATTCAGTGGTAATTATTAGTCCTATTTTACATTATTTATAATACTGCTAATTAAAATATTAAAGTATTGCTTGTTACTATTTTCACTTGTATTTTTCGGTGAAATGTCTGTTCGCTGAAATGTCTCTCGGCCAAATATCCGTTCGGCCAAATATCCGTTCGACCAAATGTCTGCCGGCCAAATGTCTGCCGGCCAAATGTCTGGTCACGACGTAAAATGATTTTAGGAATACAAAAAATTTAATAAAAAGATTAAAAGTTAAGTAACAAGGGAAGTAAGTCATGGTCTTAAATTGATAGACGACCACCAATACCTATATTTTCTGGTTTACTCCAAACACACAAAACAAACATTCAAATGCGATCCTTTATATTTGGAATAGACTGGTGAAAGCCGTAGTAAAAATTTTAGTACCACTTTCAGGAACAATCAGCCTTTAACATATTAAAAATTCAGCCAAGCTGATTGACAAATTAGGGGGAATAAATATGGCAAATAAAATTTTGTCTAGTTTAATTGTCAAATCAATACCAAAATTCCTTTCAACAAAAACAAAAAAAAAATCTAGTACAATAAAAAAAATAAAATCTCCCTACCAAAAGATAAAATTCTAAAAAAATACGAAATCATTATAAACTAATTTTAGTATCTGTCTATATTTTAATTTGTTCGAATTGTTGTCCTCATCTTTATTGCCATGTGCACGACTGTGTATACGCCATCTTGTGCAGCTGTGGTAAGAAATATAAAGGAGAAAGAGACCGTCCTCTTAAAGTAAGACTGCAAGAACAACGTAAATCAATAATACAAGAGAAAATAGAAAAATCAGGCACAGTTGACCATATATGGAGGGGAAAGGGAGATCACCGCTTCCTGTGGGGTCAGGTTGAAATAACAGACAGAGAACATCACTGGTAAAATACGAAAACTTAAGGAATCAACACATATGCTAGGCCACAAAAATCTCCTAAGCCGGCCAAGCATAGAAATGAATACAATATGGGAACCAGTTATACGGAGTGCTTGAGAAAAGCCATAACAACATAATTGTAAAATGAGCTCCAGCAAAAATGATTACTAAGATATTAAATTTATAAGTCCCCAAAATTCTTGCCCTGATGTCCTCAAGGACACATGGGCTAGTTGATAAAAGCGTTGGTTAGGTTAGTGATTTGTTATTTTTTTTCTGTTTACTTTTCTATTCCTGGTTTGGCGCCAGGGGGGAAAGGGTTCGAATTAAAATTGAGACTGCGTTGATTTTTTTTTTTAAGAAAGGGCGTCTTTTCGCACGGATAACTCTCTGTCAGATTGCCGGAAGTCTTGAGAAAAATGTCTTGTAAGTGATATACTGCGACGGTTGATGAAGAACAGAGTGGATGAACTCGTTTGTAAAAACAAATTCACTAAACTATTTCACTTTTATGTTTGTTCTTTTCTTTCATTTATTTAATTTATTCTTACGCCTCAAATGTTACGACCATTTTTGATTGATTTTTCACCGGCGTTTTCCATTTTTAATTTAATCTTGTTTTGTTTTCTTCTTTTTTTTTTATTGCTTCTCAACTTCCATATTGTTATTTGTTTTAATCTCTGTTGTTGTGAACTCTTGGAAAATCTTTATCTCAAGGAAAGTTGCAGAAAGTTTAAAAATAAAAAACAAAAACAAAAAACTTTGTTGGCCGATTAAAAATACTCAATGTCTATTGAAGAATTATACAATTTTTAAAAGGCTGTGAGAAAGACAAATTAATTCAGTTCTGAATACATTCGTCATCTTGGCAAATTTCCACCTTCTCTTTCTTATTTTTTTTTCTTTTCCTTTATTTTTTCTTCCGCCTCTTTCTTCTTCTTTTTCTCTTTTGCATTTTGCCTTCTCTAGCTTCCTTTATTTCTGTCTTCTTTCATTTTTTCTTTCTTTCTTTTTTACTTCCTATTTTCCTGCTTTTTTTCTTTTTTAGCCTATTGATATTACCCTTTCTTTCTTTCTTTCTTTCTTTCTTTCTTTCTTTCTTTCTTGTTTAATTCTGTTCTTTTGTTTCTCTTTATTAATTTCCTTTTTTTTAAATCCTGTTCTTTTTCATTGCCATTTCTTTCTTTCTTTCTTTCTTTCTTTCTTTTTCTTTCTTTCTTTCTTTCTTAAACCTGTTCTTTTATTATCAATTCTTTCTTTCTTACTCCTGTTTTTTATTGCCCTTTCTTTTCTGCTTGCTTTCTTAATTCTGCTCTATAATTTCCCTTCTTTATTTCCTTCTTTCTTTTTTAATCTTGTTCTTTTTTCGTTCTTTTATTACACTTTCTCTCTTTCCTTCTTTCTTTCTTTTTTCTTTTCACTTTATCCTTCTCTTCTTTCTTTATTTTTTCTCTTTCGCCTTTACTTCTTTCTTCTTCTTTTCTGCTTTAGCCTTCTCCTTTACTTTCCTTATCTTTTCTTCTTCTTCTTCTTGACCTTTTACAGTGTAGCCATGACAACCCACCCAAGTCAGACCACACAAAATAAATGGTTATTTATTACACAATCCTGTGAATCTAAGGAAATGAAACTTCTCTCGCCTATTAACCAGTCAGAAACAAAGACAGGTTTGTGGCGGGAACCCAGCAATGACAATCGACGTCTTTCTATAGTCCCACTTCCAGATGCTAGTTGTTTATCGTTTAAACTAAATACAAAACACTGATATTGAGCCAAATCAGAGATTATTCTTTTTTGCTGGTTCCAATTAATTTTTTCTCTTTGTGGAAATTGTTTCACTTATGACTGGAGTCCCGCTACAGACTCAAACACAGAGAACGAAATAAAAGTCTGCGTGAAAAAAAAAAAAAAAACATCCACAGAATAATTACTGAATAGTTTCAATAACAAGACTAATACATTTTTTTATTAGTTAAAGACACCCGATCCAATTCTAGAATTTCCAGAAGTGTAAGGTCCAACTGGAAAAAATGATGGCAGGCGCAACTGATGATCAGCACCTTGGCAAGAATTTGTTGGACGTTCCGTGGTCTTCAAGAATTTGATTGCAACGCCAACCACCATCTCTCTTTTTCAAAATCCTGTTCTTTTATTTTCTTTTTTTCCTCAATAATGTTTTCTTAGCATCTTTTACGCTCAGTAACCCCCTTGAGTTGTAGAGGCTTTATCGCCTTGCTTTGGGTGAAATTATAAAAAAAGGAAGCATTTTTCACAATTAAATCCGAGCTTTTTAACATTAGATCTGATGAAAGAGTAGTATTTCTTTAATCGGTATCATCCCATGCAAGGCAATAAAGTCACTAAGACACAAGAGGTTACAGGGCTTGGAAGAATTACGCACAAAAACACTAATAATGAGCGGGAAGAGAAAAGAGTAATCAGGAGGACAGCAGATACTGATTGACATTACATTTAAAATTTTGCAGATTAAAGTTGGCTGGAAAGCATAGGTCCGGAAGGGAGTTCCACAAGCGAGAAGTGCGAGAAAAGAAACGGTTAACATAGAATTTATGCTTGACAGTAAATTGATAAAATCCCGATGCCAGTCTGGTACTGCGCTTAAATTCATAAAGTCCAGGTACCATATCGAAGAGATCTCCCGAACAATTACCATGAAAGTATTTATAGACAAGACACAGGAGGCAATCTTTCAGCGGTGGGAAGGTTACTGAAGTCGAGCAGCCAGATTAGGACCAATAATATTGCTGATTCTTTTTTGGATTTTATCAAGTAGCTCAAGGTAAATAGCAGGTGCACTCGACCATATATAGTAGCGATATTCTAAGCATGGACGAATGGTAGACCTCTAAGTATGCAAGATAGATTATGGAGAGAAAAATTCTCTCGCTTTTAAATATGAAATTAAATATAAAACTTAATCGAAGGAATTTACCAATAGATACGAAATGTACAAAGAATAAGGTGAAAGACATCTTAATAATATTCATTGAAATACGAAATAACACATTTTTGTTTTTAAATTAATTTATTTTTAGATAATTTTGGCATTATATCTTTTCAAAATAAAATTACTTTATCAAGATTCTTACTTAAAAAAGTTTTCATTGTGATTTGTCGGAACACGAGGAGGCTTCGGACAACTTCATTCAGTGTCTGTTATCAAAATCAAATATTTCTTTAATATTTTTTCTGACAACCACGCTACTTAACTCTCCATGCTTTATAAATATACGGCCCAATGATTCCGCTAACAAAAAATGCACCAAACAGTGACCTTTTGTGAATGCAGTGGCTTTTCAACAATTTTCCTTTGATTTTCATTAGCCCAAATGCGACCATTATGCCACGAATCCAGCAAAATATCGGCTTCATCACTAAAGAGGATTTTTTGCGAAAAATCTTCATCGGATTGTCTTTGCACGTGCACCTAATTGACGAATGTACGGCGCTCCAAATAGTCAGCAGGTTTCAGTTCTTGTGTCAATTGAATTTTCTAAGCTTTTGTCAAAATTCGATGTAACGTTGTTGTGGAGAGGTTAAATTCCTGCGCGCGATGACGAATAGAGGGGTCTGGATTTTTTGGCCACATTCTCGTGCACTGCAGCAATGTTTTCAGATGAACAGCGTAAACGAGCATGCAATTTTATTTTTACATCTGACGCCGACCCAGTTTGTTTGAATTTACAAACAATTTTATCCAAATGCACTCTCGCTTGGTCGACTATATTGACCAAAAGATCGCGAAGTGCGCCAAATGCATTTGTTTGAACGTCCATTTTCGTAACAGGCTTCGATAACTTTAACACGTTGTTTGATTGATAATCTTTCCATGGTTGAAATTGCCAAAGACTTAAGTTGTTAAATCTTAAATCATCAGACGCTTAAATTTAACATTTAAAACCGGTTCAAGTTATTGGAACTATATATATATATATATATATATATATATATATATATATATATATATATATATATATTTGGTTGGATAGATGTGAGTTTGTGACCCTGGGTTTCACGCTTTAGCGATCGTCAGACAAATAAGTACCGCGCATATAATATATAAATAATTATACACATATATATATATATTTATTTATATTTATATACACTTTTCATATATATATATATATATATATATATATGTGTGTGTGTGTGTGTGTGTGTGTATGTATGTATCAAAATCATTTTACGTGGGTGCGTTTATCTACTAAAAACTGACCCAATATAAGGCTCAGGAATAACTCAAGGTAGAGAGTGACTATTAAAATGGTAAATATCAATGAGATGTGCGACAGGAATTAAAGAAGTGGTAGTAGAAAGTAAAGATTACAACGATAAGGAGGAAAGCTAACAATAGACCATTGAAATAAAAAGGTTAAGCTTGAAGTGTTCAGAGAAGCAGTCACGTGGGAGTTTGCTACACAAAACGGCAGTTCTTGAGTAAAAACATCTTCCATTCTGGAACTTTATCATTATTTTCAGGACATGGAGGAAATAAGAACGATTTGATTCCGCGCAAGTTGCTGGGTGTGTCCTAGATTTACAATTCTGAGCTGGTAGAAGTTAAGAATGGAGCTCATCTAAACATTTGCCATGGAAATAGCGATATAGTAGCGATAAGCTTGCAATTTTTGCATCTGTAGGGAAGAAGCTGCTTGTTAGCTATGCTGTGTATTTCATCATAAAAGAACGATTACGGTTTGATAAGATAAGCGTTGAAGAAAGGGAAATAAGTGATAGCCTGAAGATAAGAAGTCTGTAAAAATATATTCCTATACCAGCGCAGCTCCGTGAGTGTTTGCTGTGTCATATCTGCATCATTTCTGCATTTTTCGAGCAAAATCAACAGTGGCCTTTTTTGTCTTGAAAAACGTATTTGTTTTTCTAATGCATCATTCATGGGAAGGTATGCGCCTCCATTTTTTTTTTTCTGCAAGTTCATGCGTTATTTGGGATACAACTTTACTCAAAAGCGGGATGCGATTTACAGAACCCTGCTGGCGACCAAAACAAGAACTTGTGAGTGATGTACTGTTCTGGACACCTGATCATGATGCAAAACGTGCTGGTCTATCAGCAGCAACTTACATTGACCAACTATGTTATGACACAGAATGTCACCCTAATGATCTTCCGACCTTGATGCAGCCCCAAGATGGTTGGCGTTATAGACTCCTAAATGTCCCAGATAGCTCAACCGAATAATAACATTCTTTGTCTTTGAGATGCTTTCTTAAAAATCTCAAGCCATGAGTGTTTGCCCCGATTTTAACAGAAGAGAACTTTAACAGAGCTTCATGTCAGCCTCACGTTTCACAGATTAAAGTAAATAGTTTCTAATGTATTTTTTTATGTTTGAGCAGGAGTTTCATCAAACTGGTCATATTTCTGCTTACATTTCTCAATGAGCATGCGCGCACAAGGAATAAAAAGCTTACTAAATATCAAAGACACTTCTAAAATTTAATATTGAGAAAAGAATGAAAATAGAAGCCAGCCTATATAACAAAACCAGTCTGACGATCTGGTTGATAAAACTAAAGTAGCGATAAAATTATTTATATATGCTAAAAATGTGCTCAGTATTGCTATACAATTTTGGTTTTGATCATGTTTTTAAACCTGTAACATTACATGCATTCACCTTTTTTTTTTATATGAATATTTATCGGATTTTCTTTCCTACACCAGTTATAATTTGAAATTATTAACTATTTTTATATTCATTTTTGATAATATTATCTTTACTTTTTATCATTATCTGTATTTTTTAAATTTGTTCTTTAAAATTGTTTTTTATTTATCCTTTGACTTATTCAATTAATTTTTATATAATTAAATTTTTATTTTATATAACTTATTTACTTTAGTGATGCCGGATGTTATTATTATTATTATTACAATTATTTATATTTGAGATTTTGATGATTTTAATGCGATGATGAGTTTTTTAATGTCTGAAATGACATGACAATTCGACTTATTACTGTATCTATTTTAAGTCTCCATTATTCAGCATATTATCTTGTTCAGCCGTTTAAGGAAAAAATCATTTCTAGGTGAACCTATCGGTTCATATTTAATTCTTCCTCCTATCCTTTCTCTTCTTTCCCTCTCTCTCTTGCTCTCTCCTTCTTTCTCCCTTCCACCTCCTCCCTGCCTCTTGCTCCTCCCTCTCTCTTTCTCTCTTGCCCAAAATTAAAAAAAAAATATTTTCTTTTTCTTTCTTCCTCTTTTAATATAAAATTTTTCCTTCCTATTTTCTTTTTCTTTTTTTCCTTATTCCTTTTTCTTTTGTCTGGACAAATTAATTTCATTTTTAAAATAACTTCGGCCTGATTTAAATGTATTCTATTCGGTCTATATTTAAATATATCCATGAAATAAATTATAAGGTTTGACTTTACTCAATCAATAGTGGACATAATACGTCATCTCAGAAATATAGACACACACACACACACACACACACACACACACACACACACACACATATATATATATATATATATATTTAAGTTACGAAGAACTTGGTAAACCGAATGGGTAATTTCAAGGAGGATGAA